GAGAAAGCTGACCTGGCGGAGGTATGGGAGCTCTATCAAAATAACAACCTGCATAGAATAGGAACACCAGCACCACCTAGTGTCAGAATGGAATATCACACCCTAGAATCTCCAGTAACCCCCGCCCCCAGTGTGTGTATTGAATATAAGCACCCCAGTGTGTGTATTGAATAACAGCCCCCCAGTGTGTGTATTGAATATAAGCACCCCAGTGTGTGTATTGAATAACAGCCCCCCAGTAACCACCCCCCCCATGTGTGTATTGAGTACCAGTCCCCTCCCGTGTATATTAAATACCAGCCCCCCTAGTAGCCTCCCCCCGGAGTATATTAAATACCAGCCCCCCTAGTGTATATTAAATACCAGCCCACCTGGTAGCCCCCCCCGGTGTATTTTAAATACCAGCCCCGCCCGGTGTATATTAAATACCAGCCCCCCTAGTAGCCCCCCTCTGTGTATATTAAATACCGGCCCCCCTGGTGTATATTAAATACCCCCCAAGGCCTATTAAATACCAGCCCTGTTGGTAGGTGTATTAAATAGCCCCTGGTAGCCTCCCTGGTGTATATTAAATACCAGCCCCCTAGTAGACCCAGTGTATATTAAATACCAAATCTGGTACCCCCGGTGTATATTAAATACAGCCCCCCTGGTAGCCCCGTGTATATTAAATACCAGCCCCCCCCTGGTAGCCCCCCGTGTATATTAAATCTGGCCCTGGTAGCACCAGCCCTGGTAGCCCACCCCTGTGTATATTAAATACCAGCCCCTGGTAGCCCCCCAGTGTATATTAAATACCAGCCCCCCTGGTAGCCCCCCCCCGGTGTATATTAAATACCAGTGTAGCGGAGTAGTGGTATTATCCACGGTATCTCCGCTGGTAGGCAGGATGAAGCAGGTAAAATGCAGGTAGCGTAGTTACAATCCTTTTCTCCTAAGAACTAGACGACACATAGCTTGGAGGTTAAAACACTGGCATCTCACCAGGCTGAGTCAAAACTCTTTTATCATTACATCTTCCTTTTAGCACAGACCTCCGCAGGGGGGTCTGCATTCCACACAATACACTTCCCTTAGTCCCAGGCAGGAGGGGGTTGGGTTACAGATAGCCATCTCCCGCCTTAGGAGATACCAAGCAGTACACAGGGATACACTTTACATCATATTACATTCAGGGGGGGGTTACACTTTAAGTGGCTGGTTTGGCCACAGATAGGAATAGCAATGCAGTAATAGCAAGATATATACAAGGACATTCTGTAAGTGGCTAGGTTTGCCACAATGCTCCCCAGAACCAAGCCGGCATACACAGTCTGATCCCAACGGATCGGCTTGGGGATGTCCGGAGGAGTACTCACAGATCACTTTTCAAGTTCAGTTTGTCTGGATAACCCGTCGGCGTTGCCATTTTGCTTCCCAGGGCGGTAGTGGATGGTAAAGTCAAAAGGCTGCAGCGCCAAACTCCAGCGCAGCAGCCTGGCATTGTCCCCTGACACCCGGTTCAGCCACACCAACGGGTTGTGATCTGTGACTAGCGAGAATGGTTGTCCGTACAAATAGGGCTGCAGCTTCTTGAGGGCCCACACCACGGCCAGGCATTCCTTTTCGATGGCGGCGTAGCTTACTTCCCGGGGTAAAAGTTTTCTGCTTAAGTAAGCCACTGGATGCTCACCGCCATCTGCTCCGACTTGGCTCAGTACTGCCCCCAATCCAAACATAGAAGCGTCTGTATGGACGAGAAAACGTTTTGTTGGATCAGGAGCAGCAAGTACAGGTGCGTTAACAAGAGCAGTTTTTAGTTGCTGGAATGCCCGTTCACACTCTGGGGCCCATTCTACTAACTTAGGGAGGTTTTTGCGGGTTAAATCGGTGAGGGGTTTGGCCAGGGTGCTGTAATCGGGCACAAACTTCCGATAGTACCCTGCGGTACCTAAGAACGCCAGGACCTGGGTTTTGGTACGCAGTGTTGGCCATTTGGCTACGGCCTCTACCTTGGCGGGTTCTGGCTTTTGCTGGCCGCTTCCTACCCGGTGCCCTAAATACTGAACTTCAGCCATCCCTATATGGCACTTACTGGGTTTAAGGGTTAACCCTGCCTCCCTAATGCGGTCTAGTACGGCTCCTATATGGGTCAGGTGTTCGGTCCAGGAATGGCTGAAGATTGCTATGTCGTCTAAATAGGCGCAAGCGTACTCCTGGAACCCATCCAATAGCCGATCCACCATCCTCTGAAAGGTAGCCGGAGCGTTTCTCATCCCGAATGGCATGACCTTAAACTGGTACAGGCCGAACGGGGTTACAAACGCCGACTTAGGGATGGCGTCCTCGGCTAAAGGAATTTGCCAATAGCCCTTACAAAGGTCTATCGTGGTGAGGTACTGGCCCCTGGCCATTTTGTCTAGGAGCTCGTCTATCCGGGGCATAGGGTAGGCATCAGATACTGTCTTATCATTGAGCCTTCGATAGTCTATGCAGAAGCGGGTAGTTCCATCCCGCTTCGGCACCAGAACTACTGGGGAGGCCCATGGGCTATCAGAAGGTTCTATAACCCCCAATTGTAACATTTCCTTGAGCTCCTTACGCATATTCTCTTTTACAGACTCGGGGATGCGGTAAGGAGGTTGGCGGAGGGGTGTCTGCCCTGGGGTTTCTACACGGTGGGTGGCTAACGGGGTATACCCAGGGAGGTTAGAAAAGGTGGCCCCTTTTTCCCTAATTAAGCTTTGGGCCTGGGCCCGCTCCTGGGGACTCAAGCGCTCCCCTAGCTGTACTGCTTCCAGATCCTCATTTTTGTCTTCTTTCTCTAGGAGGTCTGGGAGGGGCAAATTATCAAAATCCTCTGCAGCGGAAGCACAAATCGCGGTCACCTCCTCTGTGCGCTCGTGGTAAGGCTTCAGCATGTTCACATGGAGCATGCGTCTGCCCCCTGCTCCAGCGCATGGGCCAATTACATAGGTGGTATCACAGATTTGCTCTACCACCTTGAATGGGCCCTGCCAGGAGGCCTGCAGCTTGTCATTAGGGACGGGTCGTAGGATTAGCACCTTCTGCCCGACCTGAAAGCTGCGGTCCCTGGCCCCCCTATCATACCATCTGCGCTGTCGTTGCTGGGCCGCTTGGAGGTTGGTACGTACGGTCTGGGTCAAAGCCTCCAAGCGTTCCCGGAACTCGAGCACATAGGGTACAATAGGGGTACCATTAGTGGTCACTCCCCCCTCCCAGTGCTCTCTGATTAAATCTAGGGGGCCCCTCACCCTCCTTCCGAACAATAATTCAAAGGGAGAGAACCCAGTGGATTCTTGGGGAACTTCCCTATAGGCGAACAGCAAGTGGGGTAAAAACCTCTCCCAGTCCTTCTGCGTGTCTATGAACATCCGGATCATCTGCTTAAGTGTTCCGTTAAACCGTTCACAGAGACCGTTGGATTGAGGGTGGTAGGGTGAGTTAAGGATAGACTTTACCCCACAGACCTTCCAGAGCTGGTGGGTGACCTCTGCAGTGAATTGGGTACCCCTATCCGAAATAATCTCCCGTGGGAATCCCATGCGGGAGAAAATTTGCATAAGGGCATCTGCTACGGTCTCTGCATGTACATTCGTTAGAGCCACCGCCTCGGGGTATCTAGTGGCGTAGTCCACTACGGTCAAGATGTACTTCTTGCCAGAGGGACTGGGTTTTTTCAGGGGTCCGATTATGTCCACTGCTACTCTACTAAAGGGCTCTTCTATTATGGGCAGGGAATGGAGTTTGGCTTTGTAGCGGTCTCCCCTCTTCCCTACCCTCTGGCAGGTATCACAGGTGTTACAGTATTGCCTAATATCCTTGGAGATACCTGGCCAGAAGAAGTTCTGCGTCAGCCGATGTTTAGTTCGGCTGATCCCTAAATGACCGGATAAGGGTATGTCATGCGCTATGCGCAGTAACTCCTGTCTATACTTTCGAGGCACAATTAACTGCTTTATGGGTATGGGAATAGACCCGGCTACTACCTTCTCTGCATACCGGTATAATAACCCTTGATCCCAAGCATATCTCTCTCCTTCTAAGCCTGCCTGGTTCTTGTCAATTCGGTCTTTGTAAACCTGCAGGGACGGGTCTAGAGCGACCTCGCTACCAAATTCTAGGGGGGCATCCCCGGGGAGGGCAGTGTGGTTATGGGGTTCATTGCTTACCTGAGCCTCAGAGTCACTGGATGGGACCGTGGTGCGGGCCTGCAGCCTGGTGATGACTGGGTAAGCTTCCTGTACGGTGGTTCGCGGAACAAAAGCGGAAGTGAGCTCCCCCAAGTCATTTCCCAAAATCACATCTGCGGGCAAGTCTTGCATCATCCCCACCTCCACGTTCCCTGACCCCGCTCCCCAATTCAAATGTATCTTGGCAGTGGGAACCTTGTAGATCGCTCCCCCTGCCACCCGTACTGCTACACAATCCCCCGTAAGCTGGTTCTTTGGGACAAGGTGGTTTCGGACCAAGGTGATGGTGGCCCCCCGGAATCTCTCAGTCCCTCCATAGGCTTCCCTTCTATGTGGACGACTTGGCGATGGCTTTGGCGGTTATCGGACGCCGCTTGGACGGGGTTAACTTCATGGAGAGTGCCTAGAGGTTCCTCCACCTGGGTGGCTGTGGAGGGCTGGATGAATGATTCATTCTGATAGCAGTGTACCGCAGCCCGAGTGCCAGGAGGTTGGCCTTGGTTGGGCCATGATGGTCGTGCCCTGTTTCGGGGGCATTCTCGTTGTACATGCCCCAGTTGGTTGCAGGTGTGGCATCTGATGTGTGCCCGGTTGGGGTACCTAGGTTGGTATTGGTTGTTAGCTCCCCCAGATCGTGGGTGAGCTGTTTCGGCCAAGGCAGGCCTGTGGTTTGTCGACTGGGGGAATACCCTGGTTGGTG